AGCTACACACACACGAATTCAAGTTTTTTTTTCAGATCGTTTTCCTCACTGGCATAGTTTATTCGAAAAGAATTTGGGACGTATTCGATCTGTTTTTTGGTAATAATGAAGAAGATCCAGAAGAGAATTTGATTATCGACGACGAAAATCGTCATGCCTCGGATCGCAAACAAGAGAACCCCGCCGACAAAGGCGTCGGCGGCGAGGATAGCAATGAGATTCCGTACAAAAACATCAATCCGCTTACCGGAAAGCGTATCGACAATCGCGTTGGCTGGATTTATCCAATAAAACACGATGTCCGCACTGAGGAAGGCTATAAAAGTTATTTGCATACAGTGCTTCAGTACCTCAAAAATCTTAGCACTCAGGACCACGGTCTCGGTGAAGGTGCAGGTCCAGCATATACGCAATTGGACCAGCGTTTTGGTGCTTATGATGAATTCGGCAATTTTTACTGGGATGATGATGATCCGTATGATGATGGTGGTGGTGATCTAGATAATGATGGTGATGTTGACGATTTTGATTATGATTATGGCAATTTTTTTGGTCATGATGAGTTGAAATAAATCCATATTTACTTGTGAAGAGTTTGGCTTTATTTTCAATTTCTAATCAGATCAACGTTGCGCAACTTGTTAAGTTTCAAGCAATAACATAACTACTAGATAAAACAATAGTGTTTTACTTTATGCATAGTCGCAAATATTTGATTAGGAAAGTGGCTGACAGCGCGTGAAAATTATTGTTCAGAAAAGCATTTATGCAGCTAAAATAGAAACACACTGATACATGCAAAGTGTTTGAATTGTGTAGCTCTTACCGACTCCGTAGTCTATAATAAACAATTTATTCCAAAATTTCTATTTGGAAGTTTGAAAGATGATTAGTACTTATTGTTAGTTCTCTTTTCTATCAATGCAGAGATTTAAGTTTAGTTGAACCAGATGCATGTAGAGAAATTTGTTTTGCAAGCGTTATCTGCAGCTCGAAAAATCTAAGTACAATACTTCTGCTGCATTGTGATGCTGATGAAAGAAGTATTTAAATCCATGTCAGTGG